TATATATTTTTTTTTTTTTTATTTTGCATATATCTCAAAGGATAAATGCCTTTATTGAACAAGAAGTGCAGAGACGGCTTCAAAATATTCATCGCAAATCTGAGGATAGCCATGCTAGCCTGTCCTGGTCTACAGAAAGTTTAAAGGTGAGCAGAGCTGGGTAGAAAATACTGAATTTCAAGGCACCTTGTGCAACCGGTGATCTAATTTCATTGTTCAATAATGTTGATATTTTTTTGTGTTTATTTATTTTTAATTTATCAAAAAACAAAACAGTAAATTGGGGATGTCAGTTTTAGGTTTTGCTATTCTTTTTTTCTAGTGACAGTATTATGTTATATTAAAAGTCTAATAGTCTTTGTGATGAAGATTGTGTAAATGGCAGTGAGAAGTTTTCAGATAGAGTCAAAATCTTCATTTTATGCTTTTATAGTACACTGAATGAAATTCCATCTAGAAGAATGGTGACTGTTTGCAAGAACACTAGTTGCACACAAATGCTTTTTTAAAAACTAATAACCTGATTAATCAGAAGATTAGTTTAATTCAATTTCAAGATAGTTTTTGAATAAATATAAACAAGAAATTGGTCATTTTTGGCCATTAAATAGACCATTAAATCTCTTCCTATAAATACTTCTAAAGCAACTTGTACAAGGAAGGCAATTTATTTAAATATTTTATTGTTACCTACACCTTTTTTGTTCTTAGGATAACGAGAGGCTTAATAATGGCACTGCTCAACGCAAGCTAAAGTATGAGGTAGGTCATAATTTGTCAGAATGAAATGGTTGTCTTAAATTATGGCTTGCCTGGTAATTAAATTTCTTAACGTTTAGCTACCTAATTAGAATTTCAAATTCATAGAAAGATTAATGGCTAATAGAGAGAGCAACTTATTTTGCCGGCTTCGAATTTTTGCAGTATTTTTTGCAGGTTGGGCACAGCTTTCTCCTTATTTGAAATGTGTGTTATTAAGGTGGAGGTTTCTTCCTTGTTTTGTCGTAATTCTTAATGTGGAACAGTATCCCTTTCCTGTTTTTAGAGGAAAAAAGCTTTTAAAGAGGAGCAACTAGGTTGTTGAATTCAGAATACCGTTTCATGTTTGTAACTCACAATGAACTCACTGCTGGAAGGGTGTTTGAAACGTTAGCAGTAACACCAGGGAAATTTTCTGAATATGTCGTGAAGATTTAATGTATAGACAATATTATAGGTATTTTTCAACTGAGCCTTAGACCCCTCCCACAGTGTTTGGTTGCCTAACTTTTACTTGAAACATATGGTTAATTAAATCTTCAATTTGGAGAGTAGCTCCTAAATATCTTTTCAGACCTGAGCCTTTTTTTTTATTATTATTTTTTTTGAATTTTACACTATCTTCGACTTAATAGTGTAGGACTACATTTTGTTTCCTTATTGTTTTAGGAATTTAATATTGCAATTTTCTGGAGGGAAACATGAAAATAAAGAGCATATGAATTTCTACGTTAGCCTTTTTCATGTATTTTTTCAGTAAAACAAATATAAACCAAGTGAAATGGATACTGTACAAAAGAAAAGCTGGGAAGATCAACCATTCCTGAATCAGACTCAATCAGTTTTCTTGGCTATGATCTCTTAAATTTTGATTTACTTTGAATGATTATACAAACCTAATAAAATTAAACCTACATTTAAGAAATGTTCAAATCAGAAAAATTTTTTTAAAGGTGTTTCTATTTTTTCTTTCTTTTGGAATTTTTAACAGAAAAGTCAACAGTGGCAGCCACATTATGACTTTCCATTTTTATCTAAAGATGGCAAATGTGCTTCTGAGTTGTATGGAGAAAACACAGGAATAACAGACCTTAAAAGACAGAAGGCATATGCAGAGATGTGGAATGTATTTTCTAGTCCTGGAAGGATCTCCTCCCCTTTTACATCAGAAGGTGCATTTGAGAATGAAGGGAATAATTTGGAACAGGAGAGCTTTGCTTGTCTTTATGACACTGAGAGTAACTTTATTCAATCTAAGAATATAAATACTTTAAAGAGGAAGAATGTTCCGTATCAGAATGTTTTATCTACTTCCTTACAAAGTCATGACTTAAATAATGCGGTTTATTCACACGATAAGGTTGAAAATTTCAATCATTTTGATGATAAAAGAGGTGTTTCTCAGGATTATGACAGCTCGAGAAGTGAACCTGATTGTTTCCACTTGCATCACGTGTCTCCTTTAGGATCTTTAACTTGTGCTAATGAGCAGGCTAGTTTTAACAGCATATCTTGCCTTGTCTTTTCTCAGTCTAACATAGATTCTGAAATAGCCTGTAAAGAAAACAGTCCATTTAAGACAGTGCATCAGACAATCCAAGGCCAGTCTAGTAATTCTCAGCCTCCAACTGAAAAAGCCCCTGATTTGATGTCTTCTAAGTCAATAACTTCGTGTTTTGATGGGAGGCCAGAACAAAGCTATGGTTTGGGTTGTCTTTTCAGTAAGCTCTCCTGCTTTTACAAAGATACCAGTAATCATCTGCTCAACAGGACCGTGGTTTCTAAACAAATTAAGGAGCTGGGAATTTTGTGTGACAAAAGTGAGAGATGTGCGCAAGTGGTATCATTAATAAAAAAACTCCCGTTTGTAAGAAATTTGCAAGTAGGCATATTTTTCAATTCAGGAATGAATCAAGACTTATCTCACTCTACTAACGACACTAAAGCTCAAAGTGATAATGTCATTCAGCTAGAATCCCCAGTGCAAGAGGATATCACAGCGTGCGTAGGCACAGAAATCTCAAATGCATGTGCAAGAAAACTTACTGAAGGATTTGCATGCTGTTGTAAAAATGAAAAATTGGAAAATAGTCCTGTGTTAAGACAGAAATTTGTGCATTTTTCTGATATCCTTTTGAAGCTTCAGGTCTGTTCTCTGGAAAAAGTGCTGGAATATTTGACCTGTGCCTTACCTCAAATTTGTATTGGTATGGAGGAGTTAAAAGGTGTATATTGGCTTGCTGTTGGCAATTGCAGAAGACCTGATCCAGAACCTGCCTGCTTGCTTTTGTTCAGTTCTGTTTTGTATGCCGTTGTTTTGTCAGTCAAACAGGACATTTGTCCAGATTCCTTGGAGATATTTCATAAGGTTCCGATCATCACAATAGAAGAGATTCAAGTTGGTTTTGGTGGACAAAATATTAGACTTCTGTGTTCTGCTGAAGATAGTTTACTCACAATATTTACCTATAACAAACATTTCACTCAGAGAATTTGCCATGACATAAGTGTTCTGATTTCTGCAACAGATGATGCTGTTTATTTAAATCACCAGCTCTTGAGGGGTGATTTGATGCAGATTTCGCTTGACTGGGCATCAGAAGTAAATGACTTAATTTTTTCAAATGGAGTACGATTGTCCTGTAAATTCAGAACTATGTTAGCTGATCTGGTCTACTTGCTCCATGAAAATATGGGAAGCAATAAGCCTTCATTAGGTGACATTCAGGTACTGCTGTATACTACAGTGAAAAAAGACTGTTTTAAGCAGACTGTATATAGATCTCTAGTTCTTACAACTACTCACATAGGTCTCTTGAGGGAAAATGTCTTCTACTCTGCACCTAACTTTTCGAATACTTTACTCCAGCGATCACAATTTGACAAGCTTCAGTTGTACAGTTTGAATGATCTCCGATGTGTAGTTTTGCCAGAGAAAGAGAATTTCACAAAAATTGAGCTTGTTTTTTCTAGAAGAAGCAAGATTGGATCTGATTCAGGAACTGATTTCTCTAAATACAGTGAAAAAGAAATAAATACTCAACTGACAGTCATCCCGTCTTTTCTTCAAAACAGTTTGCCTCTCCCTTCAGAAATCTGGAAATTAACATTCAGCTCAAGTGAAGAAGCCATTTGGCTAATTATGCATCTGACTAGGTGTTGAAATCCAAATACATGTAGGTACATTCAAAATAAGAGGTAATGAATACTGATAAAATACTTTTTTTGTCAATAGGCACAACAGTCCTTTGAGTTTTTAAGGGAGTACCTTAGGGTGTGTATACACGTTACCAACAATCATTATTATTTGATTGTTTTCTACTGGTGGCTTTCTAATATAATTGTAGAAACATTTTCTTGGAAAGATGAGGAAATTAAATGTTTCTATTTTATGTGGTAGGTGGATCAAAGCTATAATTACAGCTGTGTCTTCAGATTTCTATTTTGGCTGTTGTTTCTGGCTCCCTGCATTTCCAATCCATCTTAATTAATGTCGTCTGCGTTCCTTCTTGATTGCCTTTTCCTTAATCTTTCTAACTGTCTTTGTTTTTCATGATTCTCCTCTATTTCATGTCCTTGATTGCAAATGTTGTGAAACATTGAAATATTTTTTGTGTGTTTGAATTGCAAAGTGTTTAAGCCTATGGTGCATTTATTCTCTGCTGTTAGGCTGTTTGTAGCTTTCATACCTTACAATTTTGGGAAGAATAACATGGACAAGCAATTCTCTTACGCTTCGGAGTTTTGTGTTCTTTTGGATTAAAGTTTGTCGCAAATGTAAAAGGAGTGATGTCTACTATTTGAAGTCGTGCTAACTGAGGTACCAGGGACTGATGGATTTGCTCTATCTCTTTCCTCTCGGGTTTGCTGGCTTTGCCTAGAGCCGGGAGAGTGTAGGCTAGTGTGAGCCATGGAAGCAGCAAAGCAGATCAGCAAAAATGCAGAGAGCATCCAAGACTTTTTGCTTCTGTTCTTACAGGGAAACAATGCATAGCTTATTTGAGTCATTCTTTATTTTGACCAAATAGTTAACCTGCGCTCCCCTGCAATAGAGTAAGTCTATATAGTCCCTTGATGTGAGTGCTTGAGGAAAATGTGATGTGAAAATGAAGGAGGTTAACTGATGCAGAACTGCATTTTGATCTTTGGTCATGCTACTAAAACTGTGGTAGGACAAAAAATTCAAGGTTTGTCATTTGTGTACATGTTTCTCACATTGTTAAATGGATAATTAGCAACTCCGGATAATGCCTAAAGGATGGAATAAATTTGACCCACAAGATGTGTCAGATACCCGACCTGAATTTCCCCTTTTTCTGCTTACTTACTAACGTGGTTGATGATGCTGTGAGATTGCATCTCGTAAAGTCTGCTTAACATTACCTTCCAAGAATTAGTGGAACTATTGAAAATTTAAGATTTCCAGTTGTCAAGGCTCGCCTGAAGCTTAGTAAAAGATTATTCTTCACCTGTTACTCCTGTCAAATGTTCAAAAAAGAATGCATAAGTTATTTCCTCTCATCTTCTGTTTCCTCCCTTCTAGCAGGAGCTGAATACCTTTAAATGCCATTGCTTGAATGTGCCATCTGCCTTATTTGAGGAAGATGGCCCTTGGCAGAAAAATGGTGGTATCTAATCTGAAATTCTAAATTCTATAAGCATATTGCCAGTAGACATGCAATCTTCTTTCAAGCGAAGTTAGACTTGGTCTGTCTATTAATGTAAAAACATTTCCCATTTGTTCTTACCGTATGTTAAGGCATGATAATGTAATTCACTTGGGGTTTTAAAAGAAGGAACTGCTGTGGATGTGGAAGTTGTGGCTGGAAGGAGGAAAGGTGGTTTGGATAGAGAGTTATGGTTATCTTGCATAACAAAACCTTATCCTCCCCTAAGTAATTCCAAAGAAAAGAGCAAAATGTATCATTTGATTTTGAGGTACATATATATTTTCTTTTAATGAACGAGTGCATGCAAATATCTTGCAGAACATGAGAGTTAGACAGGGTTGTTACTCTCCTGAGTTGGGGTTTAAGATAGTGTCATTTCAGTTAGAAAGTGGTTCCCGTGTTGACATCCTGAAGGCATTTCTTCTGAGTCTTGCTGAGTGTTAAATGTCAGTATTAAGTGTCAGGACTGTCTTAACCAAGGCTGCTAAATGACAACGATTACTGCAACTAATTCTTTTTCAGGTTATACCCACAAGTTAAATATGTCTGAAATGTCTGTGCACATTGTGTTCTGAACATCATGTTTTTTTCTGTTTAAGTTTATTTTCAAATCTAACTTGATGGATATTCTGCACTTTTGTGAAAAAAAATTACCTCCATTATAATATCTTTTATTCCACTGCAAATTAAACATAATGTGACAATGTATATTTATGGCACTCAAAGCATTATTTAGTCTATTAGGACATGTTTTTCACATGCGTTTTGCTTGAGATTTTTTCCTCTTTAACTATTAATTGTTTGTAATAGCTTCCTGGAAATGGCTGACAATAAATTACATGTTGACAGAGGTGATTTTAACAGTGACTTTATAACTTTATTGTTGTTTTAAAACAGATGACATAAATATTATTGTCAAGGCAATGAGCTCCTCTTTCTCCCAAGAAACAAATTACTTTAACACTCCTGAAAGCTAAGTTATGGTTGAAAAGCCAGTAACTTGGGCAGACGTGAAAGAAGGGCAAAATGGAGAGTAGAGGAGAAAGTATTTGTTGTGTAACCAAAGCTGGCCAAAAATGTTTTGCTATTCGAACACAAACGTTTTTTATTTTCATTTTCAGTTAGAGAAAAAAAAGGAACATTTGTGGAAAGCACTTTCTTCATAAAGCCAGTTAATTGAAACTAAAATTCACTTTCTTTGACTGCATTTTCTTTTTGAGTAATCTTAATGGTAACATTAAGGAAAATGGCCTTGGCATTTGTAATTGACTGATGAAGAAGTAACAGCCTTCCCTTCTAGAGAGCTTTCTGGTATATCCTCGTCCAGCTGTCTGCAACAGGCAGCATGCAGAGAGGCATTTATGAATAAGTTCCAAGTCTTCTTGAGGTCAGAAAGAGCTCAAGAAAAGTTACATCATGTGTACCTTATTTAATTCTAAAATGCCTTTGGATTTAAAAAACTGAAAGCTTTCTGAATTGCCTAGATCCCCTCCAGCTTTGCGTGATATTGTAAACAGATTTGCTACATAAAAATAAACACATACAGGAATTTATATAGCTGTAAAGGCTTGATTCATATGTATATTTTTTTTTTCAAAGACAGTTAATACAAAGTCTACTGCTTTCCTCTGTTTTTGGTATCTAAACTGGAATTTCTTCCTCCTCCATGTTTTCTTTCCCAGCTCTTGTGGCTGAGGACATTTTCTTAATTTGAGTGAAGGATTTTTTTTTTTTCCTTATGTAGTGATTTTTGGTTCTCCTTTATTCCCCCTATTTGGTATGCATTTGAAAGCGGATGGTCTGTCGTTCTCTGGGAGCAAGTCCAGATGACCTAAAGGACCCAATTAAAATTAGTATTCCACGCTATGTCCTGTGTGGACAGGGAAAGGATGAACACTATGAGTTTGAAATAAAGGTAAGGTACTTCTCAGTTACTTCTCCTTAATGTATGGGTTCTCTGTATGCATGTTGCTTGCATTTATACAACAGTAGCATCATAATAATAATAAAAATAGAAAAATGCTTTTTGTTTAAAAAAAAAAAAAACTAATTTGCTCTGTCTGGCTGTTAGTGTTCACTATGACAACATCAAAATCAGCAAAGATGGAGATAGCAACCAGAAACGCACCTGATAATCTGCAGATTCCAGAAATGATGTTACTAAGCCTAATGAGATGCAATTTTGTGTTCTACTGAGAGTAATTTACCCACAGGAGATGCAGGTGACTGTCACATCCAAACGTTTGGGCTGCACTTGTTCACTTTTTTGGTTCTATGTCTTTTCCTTTGGGTAAGAGGCCTCTGTACTGTTAAATAAGAGAGGCTGTGAGAAGGCATACACAATACAGGACACTATAAAGACAAGCATTTGCAACATGATCGGTTGTACACAGGAAGTTCACGGTCAGACTTTGGCTGAGCAGCTCCAGATTCAATGTCAAATAATTCGACTGAAAGTGGCAGAGATCAGGATGAATGAATACCAGTTACGGGAAAACACTCTATTTAGATGGAAGTCTCAAGTATAGAGAATGATTTAACCTGGCATATTTACCTGTAATAATGGAAGTATAATTAAAACATTTTGCACGTATCCACCACTTCCTTCAGAGGCTGAATGCTTTTTCTTGCTCTCTTTTTTATTCTGATTCCTCCCGTTCTCCACTACCAAAGTCTCGCTTCTCCAAACAGTTACCTGCTTCCCCTTCATTCTAGTGTCTCCCTCTGTTAATGTTCTCTGCTTAAATGCTGGGAAAATGCATATTCATTATTTTTCCTCTGGTACTAAGCCAGTGTCTTCTCAAAGCAAGATGTGAGATCTAATTGGATATGTGCTCTCAGTACGTGTGGACACGTAGCATAACTGATCTACATGGCATGAGAGACAGAATTGGCAGCTGTCTTCACTGAATGTGCTGCCAGATGCCAGCACTAGCCAGTGTAAGTGGGAGGAATGACCTGCTGTCACATTGTGTAGGACCATTTTTGAGCTGTGCTCACATTCCTTTTTTGCACAGTTCTTTATTAAGATGATCAGCCTTAGTTCACTTTGTACTAATAACTTTTCAGTTTGAAACCTACTGCGTGATTTGTGGACAGAATACTTCATTTTGCCTTTTGAACTTTGGATTTGCTGGGGCCAGCGTAAGCCCAGAGGCCTGTCACCATCAGCCGTCAGAGAGATGCCTAGAGAAGAGCAAGCACACTTAAAACGTCCCCAAGGTCTAGCCTCCAGCTGTTTTCAGCACAGGGGATTTACTAAACTGGGAAATGGTTTACTAGTTAGTGAAGGGAGATAGAATAAAAAGATATTCTGTCTTTTTAGTAAACATGAGTGAATTTCTTTTCCAAGTACTCTCCATTCTTCCCCAAAACCCATAGAAACATCTACAAACTCCTGAGGTGAAGGGGCAGTTAAGAGTATGTGAAGGAAGACTTAAACCTACCTGGGAGGAAATGCGCTAGAAAAAAAATGTTGGGAAGGAATAGTATTCTTAACCAGGAAAGAACGGGGGAATACGTCAAGGAAAGATACAAATGCATACCAAACTGGGCTGCAGAAGTTCTGTTGCTTGTATTTCTTCTTTATGAGGAGCAAAACTTCTCTCATGGCACGGAAGGAGCTTATGCTCTGCACTGACTAATGCAAGGTATATGGACACTGACTAATGCAAGGTATATGGAATGGTCATTCTTTTCTGCTGTACTTTTTGATACTATCTCTTTTCTCTCTCTCCTGTGCCTTTCTTGGCTACCTCTGAAAGAAACTGCTGCTTAAATAACTGCTTTAGCAAAGTTCAGAGCAGAGAAATGGATGACAGGGTCAGGGAATGGGATATCACTTTAATAATTATATTCCATTGCTATCAACTTGCTTACAGCAGTAAATGTAATTGTTACTGCAGGTCCTGTGGACGCTTAGTTTGTCAGTCTTTGCGATATTTTTTATAATCATTCCCTTACACAAAGCAATTGACTTTTTATGCTTTTCCCATGGCTTCTAGATCTCTGTATGTCACACTGTGCTGCTTTTGCTGTGGTCAGGATTTGGCTCCAAGCTACGATCCACAGACCTTCAATAAACTTCGATTTTAAAGTTTTCCTCTGCAGGGCTCCCATCTCGACTCCTAGCTGTAATGCCTTCATCTGTTGCTACCTGTATTCTGCAGGAAATCAGAGTAGGTGGTATAGTGATTTTTCATTAAAAGCTAGGAAAGTAGTAAGAGCAGGCCAGGAGGAAAGGATGTGTACCTATTTTTTTCATCTCTTCCTGATGGATCAGGCAGTGGTGTCAATTGTTGAAAGAATTCCTTATTTCAGGCTTACTTTTGTTAGCTCAAATTTATTTTCAGATCATCTATCAGAATATGTGTCAGTCTTGGGAAGGGCTGAGGTGTTGCTAATATCATTTCCCTTGCCCATTCCCACATGAGCTCTCCTCACCAAGTTTCCTCTTGGGAAAATAGGGAGCTGACCTATTCACATGTAACAGCTCTTTGAAATCTGCCAAAGAGATAAGAGATGATTGAATTGACCTTTGAATCCTAGGTATCTGAATTAGAAGCATTTTTATCAGCAGATACTTTGATCATTGTATTAGTAGCTACACCCCAGCATATTGCTCTATAGAAGAACAAAAATATATATATATATAAATTTCTTTTCATGACATCAAACAGTAAGAATTATTTTCTTATATGCCAAAAGAGAGAGAACGAGTTCCACGCTTCTTGGCAGCACTGTGGCCTGTTCATAAATCTTGCAACCCTAACATACCATCCAAAAATGTTTTCTTTTAGTGCAGGCTTAGCATCTTGTCCATCTAGACATATGTAACCTTTGGGAATGGGCCAGCATGATGGTCTCTCCACTCAAGGTTATCCGCTGTACTTCAGGATGTTGAGTGAGTTCCGTTAGAAGTTGTTGGAGAGGCTTGAAATTAGAAATAAAAAAGTATTTTATTTAAGAGTTAAGTTAGCACCACCTTCTTTTGCAGCAAGAGCTGTCAAGGCCAGCTGTTGGTGCTAGTCGGCTACTAAATATTCAGTATTAATAGATACATTTCCAAATAAACTTCCGTTTGGGAGACAGTTTTATATGCAGTCTTTGAAGACATGATGAAGCAGTAGTAACTTAATCAAATCTTAATATATTTATGTTAGAGCTGAATTAAAATGCCAGAAAATTTTTCTCTTCTATTTGCCTCTTCCTTTCATGTTGTTGTGATGCACAGAATATTCCAAGACAAGACCATTTTAGAAACAGCACATGGGAAGAATTTTACATCTATAAGATGGTTGGCATCTGTTACAGACAGTAGTTGTTTTCCCGTTATCTGATTTGTTCACAATTCTGTTACATTCCTTTAAGAAGACAGCATTGATTGGAAGTCCATGGAGTGACTGGAGGTTGTTGCTGCCTGGTGGGAAAGTGAGCCAGTTCGAGGAGGAAGATCAAAGAGGGTGGAGGGCAGGAGAAGCGGTGAGGCAGTAGGGGAGTGGGAGCCTCCAGCTCACATAGAGAGATCGAGGGTCTGCTGAGAGCAGTCAGGAGCAGCCTGCCCGTGAGCGATAGAAGCAGCTATCAAGGACAGCCCTGCAGGGGCTTCTGTGACAAGAAGGAGAGTTGTGTGTAAGTCTTCTCATTTTTGTTCAGTTTTCCCTTTTTCTCATTTTAAGAAGTTATTTCTCTTGCTAACAAAACTGACTTTTTTTGAGGGACTTCAGTTATCTTTGATGAGTTCTCTATAGGAAAACATCTAGGCAGATTCACCCTGAAGTGCTGGTTGACCCAGGGTCGCGTCACAGTTCCATTCCACAGCTCAAAATGTTGATGTCTTTGGTTGAAGTTTTTCCTCGTTTCAGCAAGCTATGGGCAGAACTGGAGCAAAGCAGTAGTAGTGCTCATTAATACATAGTTCTTAAAGCAAACGTTGCATGCACCATATGTACTTAAATTAAAAAACAAAAAGAAAAGGCCCAGCCTTCCCTCGATTCTATCACGTTAATGCCCTCGAAGATTAACCAAGGAAAGGTTCCAAGAAATAGATCTGCATAAATCTTTTAATAACTTGCAGTGTTTTGCTTCACAGATATTGTGTTCATAGATAGTGGGAGGTGGAGTTGCAGTGAATTTCGTTTTGGGAAGTACAAATTTTGACTTATTTTAGACAGTAACTGCTGTACAGTTTAACCAGTCTAGATAGTAAGGTGGACATTTTTATTTCTTTCTGTTGGCTTCAGAATAAAGTGGAATATTTCTTTTTATTCTTTTTCACTATGGTTTCAGTTGTATTTGTATGGGGAGGGGGGCACATTGACAAATTCTGAGAATTGCCTTCCACTGGAATCAACAGAAAATCTTGGCCAGATTATTTTCTGTCAGTCATCATGCAGAAGAAAAATAAAGAAAAGACAAGACTGTAGTATTTCCTTCCAAATTTCTATTTTTTATGTGGGAAATATTGTACTTTAATGGGGGGGGGGGGAAATAAAAACACAATTTTGAGGCACTAGGATCGTGTAACCCCCCTAGATGAGAATTTTTTGAAAATCTACTTTGCAGATTTACTCAACCGTATATTTTTTTCATTGAGAAAATACTTTTTAACTACTGCAGTAGCAAATAACAAGTAGAAAACAAAAGGCCATTCAAATTTACTTTTCTTGGTACTGTTCAAAAGAGGATCTGCCTTTGTTCTGGTCCCATGCTTACAGAGGCTATAATCTTATAATCTCTCACACAGTCTTTATTAAATAGGGGAAAGAATCATAGATCAAACCGGTTGTTATATCAGCTATAGGAGTAAAAGGCCAACAGCATAGATACGTGGCTTTCCTGTTTTCCTTCCTGTGCATCCCAAACTATTGCTGATAAGGTAGTTAAACCAGCTTTTCAGTAGTCATTTATTAGACTTCATGGGAGAAAGCTACTGAGTAATTGGATGTTGGAATTGGCCACAGGCAGTTTGGTTTGGGTAAACTCAGCACTACCCCGTCGCCTAGACAGCTGTCAGATGTATAGTCAACAACTTCATTGGCAGGCTCATATATATGCTCTTCCCCAGGCTATATAGCTGTAAGAATCCTGGATGCTTTGTGCTAGATTGCTTCCCTAAAGGCATACTTCTGTGAAAACCTTAGGAAAAAAGACAAGGTCACTTTTGAATAAAGATCGTGTATGAATGAACTTTATCAGAGCAAATTTTCACAGTTCAGTTAGAAATGCTAAAATATAGAATTAAGACAAAAACAGAGCATAAATAATGACTGATGTTTTTATTTTATGATTATCCATTGCAGTCTAATGTTTGGTTAAATATTTAAATCACAAAGCCATTTGCTGAAGTAATTATTCAGAACAAAATCGTTAATTGGTTAATCAAGGTCAATGTATGTATTCCTGAATTACTACTCGTTTGTAGTTACATGTAAGTATGCATCTTAAATCCACTCACCTCATCTGTAAAGTTTGAGATATTGTTAACAATTATTGAAGGAGGGCAGCAGCGTGAATTTCTTGTAAGGAAACACAGTCCATCATGCAGATGTCTTAGTAGCAGTGAAGCATATTGGTGACACGAAAAAAGAATATTATAGCACTACCATTCAGAGATGAAGCAGTAATCAATTTGCATTGTGCAGATATGTTTGAAAAACCTGGTTTTACTATTTGTGAAAAGCAAAGTTATGTTGTGAGAGGGCCAGTTTTGTTTACTTTTGCTTTTATTTAAAAACCAACAACAAAAATACGCAAACCTGGTTCCTTACATCGCATAATGCATAGTAATTTCTGCTTTCCAAACACTTGCGACAGTTGCAGTGTTCTGGGTTCGCCAAGGAAAGCAGAGGGGCAGGGGAACGGTGTACCAAGGGTTGTTGGAAACATGAGCTAGCACTTGTCAAATATTGTGCTTACATGCTGTTTTTATTGTTCTACTTTCTTTTTCTCTTACTGTGTTTTCCTGCTCCATTGCCATTTTTTGTCTCCTTGTAACTCTATTAGATGCTCAGTACTGTGAGAACTGCTTTTTTATTTTAGGACTCACTGTAGGATTAGAAGCCAAGCCTGTATGTCTATGAAATGCATTTTAAGAAAATGCTTATTTTTGATCTTTGTGCATAAAATCATTGCTAGGCAATGTAGTATTAGTTATTAGGCCCTTTAGATTAAAAAAAAACAATAAACTTTCAGGTGTAGGCAGTGCCGCACTTTTCTGCCACTATACCATTTCATCTAAAAAAGGAAAAAAAAGTCTGCCTCTCCCTACAGCATTGCTTCTTGATATCCTTAGATCATCAGAGCTGCAGAAAGACTTCTATGTAAAATCAAAGGCTCTAGTCATATCGCTTTTATGACCCGCTTAGGAATTTCTTTCATTTCACCTGATTTCAGGCAGTGAAAAATTTTCTTTTCCTGAAACTGCTTTAGTTGATTTCCCAGTTCCAGTGAGGATTTGGGGTATAACTGATGGTGAACTGGGCTTGCCCTCGCCCTCCACTCCTGTTGCTAAGCATTTTATTCACAGGAGTACTTCTGCTGATTTTAATGAAACTTCCTATATACATGGGATATTCATCAACATATTCATGCTGCAGGCCCAGAGTGTTTTAAAGGAACATCTTTTCCTGAAAGCCAGCAAATACAATTTTTTACCCTACAAATTGGGACCACATTCTACATGGTAATTCACTCTGTCTGTGTTTCTGAGAAATATGTATGTATTATTTATGTGTATGTGTACGTATATATATCTATTCCTATAAATGTATGCATTCTAACATATAGAAGCACTAAATTTGTGCTAGATATTATTCATTGGTGGAACACCCACTGGCTGGAATGCTGTGAGCTCCGTAAGTGCATCAAGGAATGATTTGGGATATTTTAATGTGTTTACAGACTTGGCCGACCACTGCGGAATGTGAAATAAATGTGTTCAGTCTTCGCTTTGCAATCAGTGCTCCCTATTAAATAAAGTTCTGCCACTGTAATGAAATAAAATATTAGTAAACAAAAAAGCTTATGGAATTTAAGGGAACTGAGATTTGCCCATTTTAATCGGGCAACCGTACATACTGCATGCTTTTAATGTTGTACACTGTGTGTTTTTACTTCTGTTTTTTCTTTTTATACTGTTTAATATAGATAACAGTTCTGGATGAGACATGGACAGTGTTCAGGCGATACAGTCGTTTTCGGGAAATGCATAAAACTTTAAAATTAAAGTACCCAGAGGTAAGTTTTGGTAAAACTCCTTTTGGAGGAAAGGGTGCGAATAGAATCTTGAAAATAGAGTGTTTTTGAAAGATGCATACTCAAAAACATGATTCCTCTCAGGTCTGTGCTCTTAGTTTGACATCAGCAAGCCTTTCAATAGTTTGAAGCTCCAAGGCTGCTGCTAGATTGAGAATGGATTGTTGCATGCTGTTGCTGCAGTGAGACTGTGACTAACTGTGCAGTCTCTAACCATTAATTCCCTTTACTAATGACTGGTGCTGTTCCCTGGAGGTTTCTGTGTTGTTCATTGCGAAATACTTGCAGTCATCTCCTGTCATCCTGACAGCACCTCATTTAAAAGGAGTCCGTTGTTCCAGAGATACCTTTTTGTAATAGTGGCTTCCAGGTTGCTGCAAAATGGAAAATTGATCTTTCTGACCCCCTCTGAGACTTTGAGCGTTCAGGAAACGAGGAGCTGTTCTTGACAGAATCTCAGCTCATTGCAGTGAGCATTTCAGAGTCATAAAATAGTTGGGGTTGGCAGACACTTCTGGAGATCGTCTGGTCCAACCACCCTGCTCAAGCAGGGTTACCTAGGGCAGGTTGCCCAGGATCTTGTCCAGTTGGGTTTTGATCGTTTCCAAGGATTTCCTCATATGGGAAACGCTCCAGCCCTGTAATCATCTTTGTGGCCCTTTGCTGGACTTGCTCCAGTAGCTCCGTGTCTCTCTTATACTGGGGAGCCCTGCACTGGACCCAGCAGTCCAGACGTGGCCTCGTCAGTGCTGAGTCAAGGGGAGGAATCGTCTCTCCTGACCTGCTGGCAATACTCTTCCTAAAGCAGCCCAGGATACCATTGGCCACCTTTGCCATGAGGGCCCGTTGCTGGCTCATGGTCGACTTGTCCACCAGGACCCCCAAGACCTTCTCTGCAGAGCTGCTTTGCAACTGCTCAGCCCCCAGCCTCCACAGTTATCCGTCCCCAGGGCAGGACTTGGCATTCCACTGTTTTGAACTTCAGGAGGTTCCTGTTGGCGCAGTTCTCCAGCTTGTCAAGGTCCCTCTGAATGGCAAGCACAGCCCACTGGTATCTCACTCCCTCTTCCAGTTCTGTGTCATCAGCAAATTTGTAAAATTATAGTTCTTGCCTTCCACATCTAGTTTTTAATTATTAATATTTTGCTTTCTTTCTCCTCATTCCCTTTGACAGTAGAAGAAATAAAACGTTCAAGCACTTGAAGTGATCCTGCTTTGAGAGTTATCACAAGAAACCTAGGCTATATATTCATGGGCACTATATTAAAAATCATTGTTATATTTGAGAGAGAGAAAATGACTTAATGTGCAAAGGCTTTCTTGGTCTTCACTAACATTTTTTAAGCTAAAAACTAATTGAGCAAGCAAAGACTTTGAGGTTTAAAAAGTACAATAGACTAGATTTTACGTTTTGTGGAGATTCCATTACTGTCCCAAAACAGCATGAAAACCAGAAATTGAAATGCATGCATTAAAAAAATATATTAGAAAATATATTCTAAATATATAATGATATATTATGATATATGATATATATTCTAAATATATAATGATATATTTAGAAAATATGAGTATTATGATCTTTTTCTGAAATGATTCTGAAAATTCTTAGAAGGTCGAGTGATTTTTGAATAGAAAACTGTTCTATTTCCACAGATGCTTTAAAAAATTATTTGTGAGTATCAGTATCATACTTTTTGATTTCAATGAATTGCCAGATACTTCCTAGTCAAAGGTGATACTTTTGTAATTAATAGCTCTTAATTTTTTCCCCATGAATTTTTATCTGTATTTTTCCTTTCTCCACACAACTTATTTTATAGATTTCTTACATTCCCTTCATTTTGTATCAAGAAACCTTCCCTTCACTCATATCTTTCTTCAACTTATTGTTTATCAGACTTTTCCCTGTTGAAAAGTCTAATTAATTGTTCCTCACACAGAAGTTGTTTCATCTCTTCAGTTACTCTAGCAGCACTTCTATTATTTCCTTTAGAGAGGATGTCTAGAGAAAATTGTTTGCAGTTTATTGCTCTATAAAAAGAGCGAGAGAGAACCCCTTTCCTTTTCTCGGAGTGAAGTTTTGCTATGTACCGTGTTTCCAGCTCTCCTTGTTTTCCATTTTGTGGGAACAGGGCCATGCTTGCTGCAAAAGCAAGGGGCTGCCAAAGCCCCACGTTGACAATTGCACCCTCTATGAGGTTCTTACCAATTTTGAGCAAGAGGTATAGGGTCCCCAGTGTTATATTACTTCTGCCCTTCTCCTGAGAACAATTAAAGGTATATAATTATCTTTCCTCCTGTGAAGAATATGCGTTCAAAATAAAAAGCAATTTTCATTCTTTTTTTAACTTCTTCCTTCTGTCTGCAGTCATGCTTGCAAGGTCAATATACTGTCTTTTTAATGTGCTTTGATTCTTATCAACATATCTCTCTTCCGAGATACTTGGGTCTTAGGTAAACTTATGGAGATTGACATCTAGTATATTAATGGAATTACTAATTTAACTACATGGATAGCAATTTCTAATTCCTACATAGGAACCACATTATAGAATGTTTTATTAAAGTATTTGTTCCCTTCTCAACAATTTTTGTACAAGTCAGGGCAAATACCCAGTCTTACAAGTTGCCAATATACTGTTTCCTAAACTGTGATACTCATTGGAGAAGCATATTAATGTAATGTAATATACTTGAAGGAAATGTTTAATCACTTTCCTTTCTGAAACAATCAATCTCTAGCTTTATCATTTTCTCCTTCCAGACTTTATCTAGCCCCCACTTTACAATAACCTTAGATAAATTCTCAAGCAGGTTGAAGTATGCATGTCTTTGCTATGTACAAAGCACAGTGAAGTTTAGGAGAAATGAGATAAGCAATTGATCATGGCCTCTCCTGTTTTTGTGGTAGTTTTCATCCTGTGACTCAGGTACCTCTTTTGGAATCCTTGTTGCTTGCAGCACTGATGTGGTCTTCTGTATTTGGTATAGCATGGGGTGTTGTGTCCCCTCCTGCTTTAAAGCTTACGGCACTCCAGGTCAACGGTGAGTTTGTGGGCAGAAGAAATCTAGCTAACATGCACTTGGTTTTTGCTTGTCAGCATTTCCACAAACTAGTGTGTCCTTGTTTATCAGAGGGGAAGAGCACATCATGATGGATGAAACGCATAACATGACGCACTGAAGGAAAGATTTGGTGTTTTTTTTCTTTGAAGGAATTTCACTATCAGTGTTAGGTATGTGAGTGATCTATGGCTTCCCATATTTTTACCTTTTACTTAAAATACCCTTAATTAATGGTAATTTTAGATTAGTTTTGCAAAGTGGGAAGAGGTTTGGTTTGTTTGACAAATGGAAAATCAGCTATCTGCTTCTGATCTGTCATTGACCTAATTTAGGATTTACTGTGACACTAAAATACATTTTAATACAAATTTGGCAATGTTGCTTCCTTAGTTACTATATATTATTCCAAAGAAATTTATTCCTTGAAAGTAATGTTATCAAAACCCATCAGAGTTTGAATTTTATTTTACATAGCTCACCTTCCAACTCTAAATTAATATTTATAATGAACAGAGAAAATATTGTCTACATATTTAATGTATGAGTGTCTTGCTTTTAGAAGTGAACTTTACAGCTCATTAGTTGCTCAGCTCTGAGTTACAACCTCAGTATTTTAATAATTTGCTGATATTGCATTTTGTGTTTCTGCCACTGAATTCCCAAAGGGAATGTACTGGAAAACTGATTTATGGGGAAGATATTTAAAAAAAAAAAAAAAAAAGGGGGGGGGGTGGGAGAAAAAGGTTATCTTTTCAGAGGCAGGAACTCTAACATTGACCAGTCTTGGAATATGCTGTATATTTTATATAGCTGCACATTTCGTTTTATGTAAATAAATGGATGTTGATAATTCGGTATCTAATTGAAATGTTTCACACGCAAATTTCAAAAGACTGAAGCTGCAGCAGGGTGAGATTGTGCCAGAAGCAGTTAAGTATTTGCATTTTAACAGGGCCTATTTTATTAGATCTGAATGATTGTCATTTGCACAGTTTCTTTCTTATGCTGCTAGTTTGTTAATGACTCTCTTATTATTTTGGGAATTTTAATTAAGACCATACTTGGTTCTTAGCTGCAGTAGACTCTGTAATGAATATAGTTTTTGTTTTTTGTCATTAGTCAGAAACAGGAACGAATAGGCTCTTTAATTGAGAAATGTGAACTGTCAGTGCAAGATTCTCCTTTTCTGCCTTATTCATCTTTTCTTGTCAGATCATGGATTTGAAATTTTACTGGGGTAATATTTCTGCAGAAAATCTTCCCTTCCTGGTCCCTATCTTGCTTTGAAGGAAAACTTTTTTTCTCTCATCTCTGTTAGTGCAGCAAGTTGAGCAATGTAGTGTTGTGATGGCCAGCGCGCTCCTCTTACTAATACTTTCTAGCTTTTTCCGTCTTTCAAAGGACAGTGGAGGAACAGTTTTCTATTTATTTTTCCGTACCCAAATCCAAGTTCTATGAAGTCTGTCATGTATGTGGGAGTCCTTAGTTCCCACTTGCGTTCAGGTATATAGGCATGATCTGGCCTGGTTTTGTGGGACTTTCACTGTAGGCTTGGCTTATGGAGTTCCTTGTCAGTCGTCTTAGTCGTCTTGAGACCTTTTTCCATGTGCGTAAAAGTCGCTAAATAGCATTAAGGGAAAATGCTGTCGGGTAGTATAGAGGCAATTTTATTCCTAATAGTGATTCTGGTCTTAAAATATTAAATCCTTGCGGAGCTCACCATAGAGAAGTTAAAATGTGTATTTGCATTTATGGATTCATTCACGAAGATAATGGCGTATGTGTGGAGGCAAGATTTCTGTAGGAGCGCTAAAGCTATTGACTTTTAGCTTGTTCAACAGAATGTAATAATTTATGTAGTTCTGTATGGTGTATGTATTCCCTATCTATAGCACAAGAAAGGACCATATGTA